TTCCGGTCTATTAGCTGAGTAAAATAGGAAGCGAAGGGATTGGTAAAAAGTGGCTGCGGTGCTCCATGGACATATGAGTACATGCAGGCATATCTACGGTAGCGATTGTTGGCACGATGCCTATGGGAACTCGCCCAAAATTGCTTTCTGAGTCATGCAGAACGATGGCTTTTCTTCGAGGTTTTTGACGTTTCACTTTCTTTTTTTTCGCCATTTTCCAACTATGTAGTGCCCTGTTAGCATTTTAGGCTGAGTACCAAATTATCGTGACAACTGCCTTTAAAGATGCAGGAAAGGGTGTGCACGTGACAGCACTACCCCCAAGTCAGTGATGCCTTCCTCTGCTAAGCGTGAGTTATAAAAAGAAAGAGCAGACAACCACGAAGGGTACTGTCTCGTCTGGCCGCGTTTCTGTAATTGTCCCCAACCACGGTACGTCCTGCCGTTGGGGAAAATTTTCGGAAAATACACCTGCCCTGATTTCGCCTTCTGTTAAGACCATCTCAGCTCCCTCCCTCCCTATCCTACCTACTATCTTGCCCACTTTCCCAAGCTTCCTACCACTATGGGTAAAACGGGGAAAACTTCGAAAAGCCAAAACTGAAACAAGTTGCCTCTGGACCACATGTGGCCTCTATCTTCCCCCTCGCCCTACGAAAAGCACATTGGACCTCCCACCCCACTGGAATCCTCTCAGATGTGAACAACTCCCGTGAAGGAAAAATCAACTCTAGCAAAAAAATTTTTTCCCCGCACCAAGTATAACTTCCCCTCTGGACATCTCCAACGTAGAACGCGCCCTGGTCCTAGAACACCGATTGAAATTAACAGCCTGGAGTCTGCGATACGAAGACTCGTCTGGTCACAACAAGCATGTAGTGCCGCCGCATGTAACGACTGCGATCAAAGATTTAGTGACAACGGAATGGCAAGTTCACATTGAATTTAGTGAGAAATGTGGTGGCCAAATGGCGCCAGCGCTAAAACCAGTGCAATGTCCGTGATCAGGGCATCGTATTACCCTTACAGGCAGAGTTTCAGCAGAACTTTTTCAAGATTCTAGGCAGTAATAGTTGAATAGCACTGAGAGAATATTCGTATGGTTAACGTACATGAGCCGTCCAACCCGCAAACTCTCACTTTGTTAACGTCAGTCTCAGGAAGTAGTTTGATCGCATAAGGGCTGTAATTGAAGTCATTAAGTGTCGCAACACAGTTTCCACTTCAAGTACATCGGTGGAGGTAACTACTTACCTGTTAGGAATCGGCTTTCCATCGTACAGAATCTCCACCGGTATCACTGAACCAGGTTCACCCACAGGTGTGAAACGAGCGCGATATAGACGTTTCGAACCTCTCTCCCTTTCCAACAGCGGTTGCTGATAAACTGAATAGAAGATTTTTGGAAAAGACTTTCGAAGGTTAAATTCGGTGCTGCTCGGGTCAGAAAAGATCAAGGGGATGGCGTATAATTTGCATTTCCGCTAGTTTCTTTTCCTAGTTCCTGGCGAACTATCCTTTTCTACTTGCAGAGACTTTGGGTTCTTGTCAAGGATAAACGAAGCTTCTGTTATCGCATAGCTTCACAGGAATTTACCGGTCTCCAGAGCAGGCATCGGCAGTGATCGATGAGAACCACCAAACTGCCTCCTCCACCCCCCCCCCCCTCTCTTGCAGGCCTAACTGCGCCATGTTTTCTTTATTTCCATTCAAATCGTTGACATGAATTTCAAGTTCCATGCGATCCAGCGTGTGACTCTGATTCTAACAAAGATAGTCCAATTCGAAGACATATTGAATAATGACCAAAGGGAAAGGAGTCTTTGCGTGAGCGCGGTGGTCTGTTCCTTGAATGTAGACAGTACTACTGACGCCAAGAAGAAGAGCGCGAAGATGAGGCCGGAGCGTTGCAAAGCTGGGTACTCTTTGTCTCAGCCCGACAATTGACACGCAACAGTCACGCCACGGCAACTTCACACGCCATACTGACAGCCAGACGTCTGACCAAGGCACACCCGATACTCGCCTGCGCCTTCCCACGCATGACTGTCTTCATGTTGTGGCCAAGATACAGCATCAATGTGTGAAACACATAGGGAGTCGTACTTTCCCGCTGGGAGGGGGGGGGTCGTATTTGGTCGCTGGGAGATAGAGAGGGGGGATCGTTGCGTTTCAGAGAAATTTGCTGGAATGAAGAAGAATTTTTTCGCGGTTGTTGACTTTTTACGTTTTTTTTCCTGTTTCATGTGTAGTATTTGCATCATCCACTCCCCCGGCGGAAAATTTTTGGGTGAAAAACATGGAAAATGTGAGAAATTGGTAGGTAGGTGTTGGGGAAGGGGGGGGTCGTACCGAGACCCTCATTTAGGTGGGAGGGGGGTCGTACTGACACCCTCTCTCGGAGAGGGGGGGGGGTCGTACCCATACCGCCATTTCGCACATCACGATGCTGTACCCTGGTTGTGGCTGTCACGTGCGTACCGGGAGTGAAGATCGAGTGATCTCCAAGCTATCACAAGCTTCTGAAGCTGTTTTCGCGGAAGACGCTCGGGTGTTCCGGGGCAGGGGGTGCACCAGCCCGTTCTCCACCAAATGCTGAAGTGGAAGAGCGACCGCATGAGATCCACCATTTGAAGCGAAAACAACTATGGCTTCATTGTCGCAATCTTTCGGATAGCAGAAGTGCAACAGACCTGAACACCGACTGAAGACCTGAACTCCTCGCACATGTTATCTTATCTTATTATAGGTAAGTACAGCATATGTTTGAAGTTTCCTCAATGGTATGGGAAACGCGAGAGTGAGCCTGATTCTTCCAACGAACTCAGAGAGAACTCCCGATGACGAACTCTTCCGTCTCCGGGTGAAACGATAACATCTTTTTTTCAGAAAACGGCTACTAGACGTACTGGGTGGCACACTGACGCTGATAGGAGCTTCTTCAGTCTGTGATGCGTCAATGATGAACGAGACAGGACTTCCGACACGTGATTCCAGTAGCATATCTGGTCGTAACCCGCTGACCAAAATGCGAGATGGATCCTTTGGCATGTCGGCAATGATACGGAACGGCGATCCTAAAATATCCACCACTTCAGCTAATTACTAGGATTTCTCCGGAAGCAGCTCATTTCCACAAACAAACTAACCAGGTACATGCTGATTATCTCCTTCTTTTCCATAACAGATGCCGATGGCATATTCACCTGGCACAGGAGGAATGTATTCAACTGAACAAGTACCGTCTGAGTTATCTGTACACTTGTTTTTCGCTTCTGCTGGGCCCATGAACTGCACAAACAATTCACCATCTCCGGCATTCTGAAAACATCGTTTTTCAAAGGCGAAAAACTGGGGCTACGAACTGGACTGTGAGACGCCGTAATTTATGAACTTTCCTTCGTGATTAATGTTCTTGCGTGATTTACACTCCTTATTTGCTTATCGCACGTTTTTCTGTCTTATTCGTGTTCATGACTTTGAAAGCCGTCATGCACTTTGTAGAACAAAGATAAGTGAGGAAAGTGACAGCAATGAAGTCATAAGCAGTAGGAGTGCACCTTTTTTCTATCTGAACAAGTGAACACAACAACTGCTATGAGAACCTTGGTCATTGATCCTCCCTCGGTTGTGAGCTAATGGAAATCATAAAAAAGGGGTGGCCGAGGCACGGCTAGAAGGGAAGCATTAAATGACCAAAAAAACAATGTAGAAAAAAGCACAAAAAAAGACTCGGTGAACAGAACGCAATAATCGGCCCTCAGAGACGCATTTTACGCACTACAGAGGGAGACACTTTTTCTCCTCGACTTTAAGGCGATATAAGTTACACTTTATTAGATTCTGACTGAACATTCTCACTACCACATTCAACAATGCATTGTATAGGATCACGAAACTCCGCCACAGCTTTCTGTAGATAAGCACCATGGGGAGGCCGTGATTCGGTGCTTGAGCTCAGCAAGGTCGTTGATTTCACCGCCACTGCCGACCACCCTGTTGAGCTCCTCCGGACCCGGTAATCGAGGGTTTAGGTCAGGTGACACACTTGGATATTCCGTCTTCTTCAGGTTCTCAACGCCCTTCGATTCCAAGTAGGCGAGAGTTTTCCAACGCCCTTCGATTCCATGTGCTGGCACCCAATCCTGTAGCAGTAGGGAATCCAAGATGGTACAGGCGACGACATGAAGGCAGGATATTCTCCTCGAGCTGGTCGATGTAACAGTCAGCGTTCACTTTCAGTCCGTCCACGAAGAAAATATCGGTCTTCCCATTCCAGGAACTTCCGGTCCATACCATCAACCCGCGCCTTGGCGACTGCGGTGAAGATGATATCCTAGACCGTAGCGACGTTGTCGGAGCTGCTCGATGTTGGAGGTCTTCCAGATCAAGAGTACTGGTCTCCAGGTAGCTATCCATGGGTGACTCCATACAAGAAGTTTCGCAGCTGTTTGGAGGTGATGTGAATTCCAAAGGCTTTCTCCAGTCCGGCTGCGAGTACCAGGGCGGAAGATACCCAAGAGGTTCCTCGATAAGCAGGAGCAGACTCTCGTCCACCACCTTCATGTACACCGAAATATGAAGCCATCTGCATTGGAGATGGCTTCATATTTCGGTGTACATGAAGGTGATGGACGAGAGCCTGCTCCTGCTTATCGAGGAACATCTTGGGTATCTTCCGCCCTGGTACTCGTATCCTACGTATTCCGTCTGACCTGCGCAAACTGTTCTGATATTGGGCTGCGTCAACCTCACCGATATGTGACTCGGCCAAGGTGCCTTCTTTTTTGCCCCCCCCCCCTCCTTCCCGGTACAGTGAATTATAGAACAGCTAACATGTACAAGTAGCATACATTAATGAGCAGACAGCTAACGATGGGGAACTTTCAGGTCGCAGCCCACTTTCACAAGGAATTTTTCATTTTGTGAGGTTAATAGGCGGACTACGTGAAAGAAGTTCGTTCTCGAGACAGAAAGTTCGAATCCCCCTAGGTGACAAAACTTAGCATTCCTGCAACTTTCATTTTCTTGTGTTCATATAAGTCGGAGAAATTTCGTCTGAACAACGTGTTTCAAGTCACAGTCACCGTCATTCACGAGAATTTTCTGTCCAAAAAAAAACAGAAGAGCCTTCCATCGCCGAGTTCGTCGTGAACTCGTAGAACTTCCGCTTTTTCATTGCACTTCCAGAAGAGCACAACGCACAATGAACTACGCTTTTGTTGTCCCCGCATGAACCTCTACAGCAAAACGTTTGAAAAATGGGATGCACGAGCCTAAATGCTCTTCGTGCTCACAAAATGAGAATAGCAGAATGGATTTGAAGTGAAAGTGAGGAACTGAGGATCCAAAGAAAAAGCAGCCTTTCAGTCCACTCACGGAACATCATGACCATGGGGGAAATTGCCACTTCAGTAAGACCGCCCTCTGGAAGGGAGTACGACCCTACTTTTCGGCAAGATTACTGTAAATTTCGAGCCATAATACTACCGTGGACGTTCTCGCAGTCAAGTTGCACGTGTAACACATTCTGACCCACAATCACGTCGTCATGCGTAACCGCCGACAATCGCTCACAGGTTACCCCTTTCTTGGAAAACCATACAGTTTTGTTCGCTGCGGAAGGGGGGCAGGTGAGTGGGAAGGGTTTCGCGCGGCACCAGTCCGTTTTCCCTCTTTTTGATGAGTGGCGAGACTGCATCATATCGTTCGTCGTTTTCCACCAGCTGTTCCCTTATCCACTCCAACAACTGGTGGAGAACAGGGTTGCAGCGAGCCAAATGTGCCTCACTGGGACGTCCCATCATCAGCAGCGAAGAAGACCGTAAGGTCCTTCAAAGCAGACCATTCAGAAAAAAAAGGTTGTTGCGATAAAATGGTTGTGATTTCAAAATGCGCTGAAGCTCTTTTCAAGTGCTCCTAGTTCCAAAGATGTAAGGGATTAAGGCAAGGCTGCTCTAACGACTCCGCTCCATGCCTGTCGTCTTGCTCGTTTTTGGGCTCTCCCGCTCCTCATATCTGGTCTCTCGCCCGAAATTTTCGCTCCAACTTGGTTAAAAGGACACTTTATTTCAGAAGTTCCGACGTTTTCTCCCGCAGTTTTCTTTACGGTCAAGTCAACTAGCTCATACACGTCTGCCTTTGATCATTCTTCCCTCGCCCCCATAGAGTTTCCGACGGTCATCGCAGGAAGTGTCTTTCATGTGTCAAATGCGAAAACACTACGGTACATCTAACGGTATTTGAAGAATCTCATATATCATTCGTGTGACAACGAGCATTCATCGACTTTTCAGTACCAACTGTTTTCTCGGATGTTGAAGAAGAAACGTGTCAGCTGACCCATCCACAGACCTTTTCCATCGGGTGGTTCTAATGACAAAGTGGTCATTTCCTGCAGCATTTCGAGAAGGCTGCAATAAACAGCGGCCCGAGGGACTATGCGGAATGATATGGGTTGCCTCTCACAATCCAAGATACACTTTGCAACTGCAAGTCTTGGTTGACTCACTCTCACTGAAAACGAGATAACCACAGTTCCAGGACTGATAAGCCTTTTTAAAGTGCCTGCTGAATAAATACGACTTGTTTGATGACGAACGGGGCCAAAGTAGAACTCATTGTCATTGTTTGATCCCCAGCAAAGTCTGGTACCAACTAGGTGCGGCATGACAACCGGGCAGCACGGTATGCGGCGTACATGCTGCTGCCACCATCAGCTCAGCTAACCTGATACTGTTGTCACCGTGTGAGTCAGTATTTTCATCGCTCCAAGAATATGTCACCAATCAAATAAAGTCTTTGAAACAGATTAATGAACTATGTTGTAAAATCTAATAAATGAGAATTATTGAGGGGGGTCGAAAGCAAAGAGATAGCTCAGCTTCCGTTTCGCACGTGCCCTTAGACGGAAGCCGAGCAAAAGCATATTCCTCCTTCCGTGCTCTTCAGTAAGGAAAGGAAGAAAAATCAATTGCAGCAAGTTTATAAGGTATAAAGTTGAAAACGATAAAGACTGAGAGGTTTAAGAATGCTAATTGATTGGATAACGTGAGTAGGACGTCGTAATTACGAAAAACTATCAGTTGATGTTACAATATAATATCCGAAAATACTACACGGGTAAAAAATGTTTACATAGACACCAATTTAAAGGCAGTTGGCACGATGATTCCCTACTTAGCCTAAATGCTAGTAGGGCTATAGTGGGGAAATTGGCGAAAGAACGGAGTGAAACGGTCAAAATCCGCGAAGAAAAAGCCTTCCGTTCTCAGTGACTTGTAAATCGATTTCGGACGAGTTAAGCCACAGTGGAGGGGCGGATGGTTTGATTGCTCTGGGCCATCCTAGATTTGACCCCAGGCCGCGCGCGTGGGTGTATGTGACGGCACGGCCACGCGGCGTCGCGCGCAATAATTGCAAATACCGTAACGTTATCGTTATGAGGCGGAGATGGTGTAGTGACAAGTGGGGCGCTCACCATTCGCGCGGTCCCGGGTCGACTCCCGCCCAGGCCAACCAAGCCTTCTACCCTCCGGGGACGGTAAATTGGTACCAGATTCGTCTGGGAGGATAAAACACTGACTTGTACATCGGCTGGCCACCGCAAGTCATTGTATAGGCCACATCGCATTCAATAAGCCACTACGATTCTGAATGGAAGTAGAATGCGTGCCGCATCCCACAAAGGGATTGATCAACGGCGAAGACTTTATCCTTTATCCTTACCGTATCGTTATAATTGGCGCGCGCTTGCGATGATTTTCTTATCGTGAAGTGACACCGCTGCTATTTTTCAACAGAACAGTCCGTCGTACCCCAACACTACGATAATAAGTACAGTATTCGAGAGTATGCCGTTCAGAAAGCATTGTGGACAGTACACTCACTTGTTCTGTACTTGAGAGTACATTCTGACTGTCAAGGTAAGCTAACAACTCTTGAGTAGGATCTGCAGTTACGGTACAGGTTAATCTGCACCGTAATTGCTCTGTAATCAGTCTAGGTATGGGGATGAAGCAAAATCCAACGGTCATGACACTCCATGTCTTACCAGAGCGCAAAGAATGGCTTAAAACTTAACGATGTCTCATTCGTAACGCAGTGACTGCAAGCGCATGGCGTTCGTGGATTACCGCGCACGCGACATGGCGTGGTCTTAAAGACCGTCTCCCTCCCTAGTGCCGCTTTCCATATTCATCTCGCCCAGCAAAAACCTGTACGAAGTGGAAGTGTCAGACTGATTAACAATGAAAACAAACCAACAAACGGGAGACAAGAGGAACCAG